CACTTATCTCAAGATATATATGCTTGATATTAAAGGGTCATTGTCCTCATATCAATTTAATATATGTCTTTTTATTTTTTATATAAATCCTAGAAAAACAAAAGCAAGGTTCACATAAATTTAGATGATTTGTGACAAAAAATCATGAATTTCTAGATCTTAAGGTTTGGCATAAGTTTCTAGATCCTCTACTTAGGATCTACAATTAAAGCCCCTGAGTACTATCCAAAATCAAAATATTTGATTATGCTTGCGTGTGACATAAAGTCGGGACAATCTATGTAAACCAAACATTATACATGTGCATATAGCAATTATTCTTTTGAAGAACCGACTTATTTAGAATAGGCTATTTGGACCTAATATATTGGTTTTCGTTTAGTTTCAGTTGTGCAATTTATTTAAGAGACAAATTCATCGATGTCCGGCAATTACACGCATATAAATAGATTCGTGTATGTGGTCTTAGGTGCAAGTTTAGTTTCGCTACAATTGTCAGATAGTGTTCTCACTATGTTTGTTACACTACCTTGTGTAAGCAAGTTAAATATTGGCCACTATGTTATTTCAACTCATGCACAAGGAGAGGATTCTGAAAAAGGAAAAAACAACGGTACAAGGTGAATGACAAGTTTCATGAGTCTATACCAAGCTAATATTTGAAAGGGGAAAACACCTACGCTTAAAATTAGGAAAATGAATTTTTGGTTTTGAACAAAGAAAGTCATTTTTCCAAACATAACAAGTGTCTTACCAAAAACGCTCCAGAGCTTCTTCAGTTTCGTTCTTCTACACTGGCGCTCAATATCTTCATTGAAGGTTCAACTCTTCTTCTTTGAGGCTCAATGGCTTTGTTCATGGTTCTCTCTCTCATAAAAAGTTTCTTACCACGAAAGCTTAGTAGCATCTTCAAGGTTCACTATTCTTCATCATTGCTCAACATCTTCGTTGATGGTTAAGCTCTTTGGCACTCAACGGTTTTGTTCGGTCCGAGTGTCGATACCTACATTCACACAGAGAGCCAGCAATAAAAATCCATTGTAATCAGAGAACCGAAGCTATAATGTTCAACACGCTAGAGTGTTTTTCATACCTAGATTATATCCAAACCCAAAATGTTTACAAATAAAGAACTCACTTGAATATAAAACTCATTGCAAAAATCCATGTATGTTCTAGCTCCTGTGCATGGCCAAGCAAGGAGCTTTACTTTCCTTTTCATTCTTCATGCAGCAGCAAAAATCCACTGCAATCGAAGAACCGGAGTTACAACGCTCAATACACCCGAGTATTTTTCACACCTAGATTATATCCAAATCCAAAGTATTTATAAATAAAGAACTCACTTGAATATAAAACTCAAAGCAAAAGTCCACGTGTGTTCTAGCTCTTGTCCATGACCAAGCAAGTAGCTTTGCTTTCCGTTCCATTCTTCGTGTAGCAGCTCTATAGGCAATCACTGTGTGGCTGCATCTCTCATGGAACCCATGACTTTCTATACTGTGCAGCTATGTCTTCGAAGAAAAAGACGACCTAGGCTTGAGCAGAAGAGAGCCCTCTGGCAGCTATGTAAAAACTACATAGGCTAAAAAAAAGAAAAAACCCTGTATTTTGATTGGTTTTTCCTTTTTTTCCTTTTCTTTTGCCCTCTTGGCCCCACTTCCTTTCTTTTTGTATGCCCACAAAATAAAAGGCAATTGTAGCGACTATGGATCTATACACATCATAAACTAGGAGTGCCCCTTATTTTGTCTTGTAGCGCTAGAAATATATTAAATTTTCTTTTCTACATTTTAACAAAGCCAATCAATATCATCCAATAGAAAAATTACCAAAAAAGTCCTAAATTTTTTGCAATCGTGTCAATTCAGTCATAAATTTTTTTGTGGCCAATTCAATCCTAAACCTTTTGCAATTGTGCCAATTCAGTCCATCCGGCCACTTTTGATCGGCCGGCTGACATGGCAATTTTTAAAAAAAAAATTTATTATTTTTCAAATTTTTTTCTCTTTCTTTTTTTTTCACCTATCTTCTTCCCCGGTCGCCGATCCGGCGACCAGCGAGCGGCTGAGGTCGGCGAGGTCAACCTCGCCGGCCATGGACGAGGCTGGCCCTCACAGGCACTGGCGAGGTCGACCTCGTCAGGCGACGGCGAGGCCTCGCCAGATCTGGGCGAGGCCTTGCCGTCGCTGGGTGAGCTCGACCTCGCTCGGCCATGGCGAGGTCGACCTCGCCCGGTGACGGCGAGGTCGATTTCGCCAGATTTGGGCGAGGCCTCCCCCGGCGACGGCGAGGCCGCCCATATCTGGCGAGACCTCGCCGTCGCCATGGCCTAGCAAGCTCGACCACGTCCGGACATGGTGATGGCAAGGTCTCGCCAGATCTGGGTGGCCTCGCCGTCGCCGGCGAGGCTAACCTCGCCATGATTGGGCGAGGCCTCGCCCGGCGACGGCGAGGCCACCCAGATCTGACGAGATCTCGCCGTCGCCAGGCCAGCCTCGCCGTTGCCGAACAAGGTCGACCTCACCATGGCCAGGGCGAGGTCGACCTCACCCAGCGACGGCGAGGCCTCGCCAAATCTGGGAGGCCTCACCGTCGCCGGGCAAGGTCGAGCCTCGCCATGGCCGGGCGAGGTCGAGGTCTCGCCCAAATCTGGTGAGGCCTCGCCCGGTGACGGCGAGGGCCAGCCTCACCCATGGCCGGCGAGGTGGACCTCGCCGGCCTCAACCTCTCGCCGATCCCCTGACCGGCGACCGAGGAAGAAGATAGGTGAAAAAAAAAAAAAAAAAAAGAAAGAGAAAAAAATAAATATTAAAAATTGCCACGTCAGCTGCCCGGCGTCCACGTTAGCGCCGGTTGGCCAAAAGTGGCCGGATGGACTGAATTGGCATAATTGCAAAAGGTTTAGGACTGAATTGGCCAAAAAAAAAGTTTAGGACTGAATTGGCACAATTGCAAGAGGTTTAGGACTTTTTTGGTAATTTTTCCTCATCCAATCGGGTTAGGTTTTGTAAATGGTTCAAACTTGAAACATAATTTAACAATTCTCCACATTGGCTCAATATTTGTAGCTTAGTTATAGTGCTCATCATCCATGTTGCTCTCCCAATGCCTCGATGGGCGCTCACTCTCTACAACACCAATTGTGCTCAAGTAAAGCTTGAGCTTCGCCAAAGGAACATGCGTAGTTATCATGTCTATTGAGTTCTCCGCTTGAGCGATCTTATTCACAACAACCTTATCCTTGACATCTCGAATGAAGTGGTACATAATGTCAATATGTTTCGTTAGCTCGTAATAAACCTTATTATTTTCTTGATATATTGCATCTTAGTTATCACAGTGTATATCAACATTTTTTGTTCCAACCCAAAGTCCAAGAGCAAACCTTGTAACCATGTCACCTCCGTCGTTATAAACGTCAGTACCATGTACTCTATCTCGATCGAAGACAAGGCAACATGGTTCTGTAACGATGCTTTTCTACTCACTGCACCACCTGTTAGTGTAATCACGTACCATGCTAATGACTTGCACTCATCCAAGTCACTATTGTGATCTGAATCTATATAACCAGTGATCTTACTAACATTGCCATCCCTTTGGTACATTATACCCGCGTATATTGTCTCTTTTAAATATTTGATGATCCACTTCACAGCTTCCCAATGAGTTTTACCATGACACTTCATCTAATGGCTAACTATGCTCATGGCTTGTGAGATATCGGACCTACAACATACCATAGCATACTAATACTATCCACTGCACTAGAATAGGGAACATGGGACAGGACCGTAACATAATCTTATAAAATTTATATATTCCTTTTGTGAGATTTAAGACATTGTGAAGGCTAAATACTGTGTATATTATTATGTGTAGTAAGGGGCCGTGAGACAATAAAAGTATTTGAATGACTCGAATGTGATTATAATCTCTATATTATTGCTTGATTTTATAATGAAATCTTATACAACTCTTCTTATGGAGTAAATGATGTCGATCAAATTTTGTAAATTCAATATTCGATTGTGTTGAATTGCTTGTTTTTCGTGACAAACATCATTAATTGGTGACTACCATAATGGTGATTTATTGTTCTCTCCACTTGCCATTAGCAGGGGTCCACCACGCGGTAATACTATCTCTCTCTCTCTCTCTCTCTCTCTCTCTCTCTCTCTCATTGGTCTCTAACAACGATCTGCCGTCAAGAGGGGCCCATCATGTGGTGATCATACTTCGGGAAAAAGACATCATAAATACTATAATTTTCGTGCGGCACTCATTTGAATATTATTACTTTACTTTCGATCACTCGAATGCCATATCTTTTATACAACGCTCATTTTAGTACCATAATTTTTTTTTCCAATCACTTAAGTGTCATATAACCTTTCAATCAATCACTCAAATGTCATAACTTTTTAAAAATGTTAACCACAAGTACCATATCACGTGAAATTCCTAAAACTTAGGTGAACATTTTTTTTTTTAAGTTATGACACCCGAGTGATCGATTGAAAGTTGTGGCACTCAAGTGAAAACTTTTTAGAATTCATGATACTCAAGTGATCGAAAAAAAGTTATGGCACTTAAGTGAACGCCGTACTAAAGTTATGACACATGTGATATTATTGTCCTTCCTATTTTTGAATGATTAAGCCATTTGGGCTTTGCCCTTTTTCTTAAACCTTATCTAGAATTCTGTTTAACATCATAGAATAGTATATATTATACATATAGTTTTATTCTCCAATCACACCATACAAGACTACGTACCTTCTCTTATCCTATTTAATCAAATAATCGCGAGGCCAATCAAAACATTATACTTCTAGCAGCTGTTTTTGTTCACAGACTGTTTAAGTTAATTAATTCCTTGGAATTGATGGTCAAGGAAGGTCCACGTTAGTCCCATAGAAAAAGTAAAATTTGCCAACTGAGGATTAGAACCCTTTACAGAGAATAGCATCTGCATAATCATATATTAACTTTAACTTTTCCCGCTTTGGGGTTTCAATACGGTGAAAGCACTTCCAACAAGTATGGAATCAAACAAATCATATGCACTCAGATTTCTCAGCAACATATGCTGCTCTGATCTTGGTCTTCAGTTCTACAAGGTGTGATTTGATGGAGAGCAAGCCCGGTTCATCCAGACCCGACCGCAAAACGACAGAGAGAAACAGGAGAAATCAAATGAAGGCCCTCTTCTCCGAGCTCCACTCCCTTGTCCCTCCACAGAGTCATGGGATCTCTCTCTCTCTCTCTCTCTCTCTCTCTCTCTCTCTCTCTCTCTCTCTCTACAGTGTATTATTTTCATGTCAGTTATATTACGTACAAAACACCATTATTGATTTCAAGATTCTGTTTTTCAGATGGTGCTTTTAGCCATTTTTGAAATAATCATGCGTTTTTTTCCGATTTTGTCTAAAATGAATAAAGAACAAAACTAAATCCCCTAAACACGAGGAACCCATCTAGGGTTTTTTCCTGTTTCTCCTTTGGTCAAACTTCTAGTAAAACGCTAAGGATGGTGATGTCCCCTCATTCGAGCTTGACGATAAATGTCTAGCATGGTGTGGATTGTAAAGTGGTAGTGAGAGTTGAGCACAATTTTAAGAAAATTAAGTACGAGATTCGGGTTATTTGCAAATGGAAGTTTTTAAGAGAGGGTCCAGTATGAGGTTCATCATATTGGTATGTGATAGATTTTGTCGATGAGGGTGAATTTAGGTGGTATCTTCTTGAGTTCAAAGTCTCTGAATTTTTGTTCCAAGTATATTTGTTAATGCATTTTGATCAAGTTTGTGTTGACATTGTCCTTCCTTACTTATGATTTGGTTGTAGAAATCAACCTTGTCACTGCCCAATCAATTAGGCAGAGCCGCCAATTACATAAAGAACTTAGAAGAGAAGGTGGAGAAATTGAGGGAGCAGAAGGAGAGGTTGTTGGAAATTGAAAAGATCAACATAGACATGAACAATGGACCAACAATCAGGTTCAAGCCGCCAGAGAATGCAATTTGGAACACCGGGTCAATCCTCGAGGTTGTTCTTGTCACTGGATTGGCTGGCCAGTTCATGTTCAATGAGATTGTTCGTGTGATTCACGAAGAAGGAGCTCATATTGTCAATGCCAATTTCTCTGATGTTGGTGATGCAATGCTTCACACCATTCATGCCAAGGCAGGAATTTGTTTATATTTTGATCCCAAAATGGTTAGAAATTATACATTTAGAACAAAAAGTGTACTAGAAAACCTAGAATTTTGGAACTCATACTTAGAGATGATATATAAAATTAGTTTATGGAGTGAGGTGGTAAAATTCTGTTAGGCATTCAACTATGATCCACTTATTTTTATGTGTCGAGGATGCCAAACTCACTCAAGTAGTAAAATCATGTTGATCATGAATGTTCTCATTATCTTGTTTCTTGTATTAGATGGTAGTCAAAACCTTGGTAGTTGACCCAAAGATGAACTTGTTTGATGGTGTGGGAATCGAACACGTGCTGCCGGTACCAGTAAACGGGTTTTTATACGCCTCGCTTCAAGATGACTCGTTTAGGAATTTCTAGAGCAGGCTTGAGAAGCACAAATTGGTCATAGGAGATTTCCCTTGTCCGTGCAAGGTATTTTCACCAGTTGTTGCGGTATTGACAGCAAGACATAAGGGCCAACCATGTTTAATTTACACACCACGTAGACAAAAGCTGAAGCCTCATTGACTTTTAACTTGTAACCTGGAGAGTTTGAAGGAAATTCCCGGCCAAGGTTTGCAGGAGATGTTTTCATTTCCTTCTTTCAGTCTTTACAATTAGCTGGTTGTTCAGTATTCTTTCTAAGTTGAGTGTATTGTAGGTTGGAGATGGCGAATCTTCAGATGAGAGAATCTCTGAAAGGCTGCGGAAGATTGTCAATGATACGCGAATGGAGTTTCCTCATTAATCCAGTGCTGGTTGAATATTGCAGAGTCATCGCACCTTCAGAGGATTGTCTACTCGTTTCTTATAAATATGTAACTACATATTTAATTCCGAGGAGTTTCAAGAATGATTTTATAAAAGCTCTGGACAAGCTAGCTCTAACTTTTTCAATGCTTTTCATTTGTTTTCTGACATAGTACCATGTTGTCACTACGATTGTCTTGTACTCTCGCACTCTCTCTAAGCAATTTCCTCACTGATTATATGTGTGAACATCAACACACTTCTCATTTCTGAAATCTTTCATAACAAATCATTTCTAAGTATTTCTATATAATTAAGAGATTCTTAATATTCTACTTAATCTACTGCATGAGCAACGTATATGAAATTGGCCCTGTTATGTTAGTGATGTCGGATACTTAAACCCCCTCCCACGTGCAAGCCGGCATTAAGAACAACATGTGGGCGGAACTTTGCTTTGATATCATGTTAGAAGATACAACCAAAAAGTTTTAACCTTATAGGTGAAGAGAGACCTTATGTATATAGATATAAAGAGCATAATAACCCCGTAAACAAGCGATGTGGAATACTTTCAACACCATAGACCTTCTAATTTGGTGAAAGTACAAGTTGCATTGTCTATGTAGTTTATGTGCTGAATGCAAGCAACAACCTTCTTTGAATATTTCCTTCTGCTCTTTTATTTTTTTTCCTTTTGGAGAACGACGGTCTCAGACTTTAATCCTCTTGTTGGATCACCTTCTACGGGCACTTTTAAAATACCTCTGGTGTATCGCATAACATTACAACGTGTAGGTATAATTAAGTATAAAAGCATTGTAAAAGTTGTTGACGATGTTACGGCGATTCGGCATAATCAAATGCATAATAATAGTAAAAATGAGATGGTATATTACATTCACATATCTTAGAAATTTCCCACCTTCTACTAGCTAGGTGGAGTTTCCCTAGGATCTTGGTGTTTTGATCTTATCTAAAATTATGAAATGAGAAACCTTTTGATGTAGAACGGATATTGCTCTTATTGTGCTAACAAGCAATCAAATACAAATAAACTAGAAAAGAGGAAATAAATCGGACACGATTTACATGGTTCAGTCCATGTGACCCATTCCATGGGAAGCGAAGAGCAATCTAAGAGTCTACCGTTGATGAAGTGATATAAAGAAGATTAGTTACTTAAATACTCTCAGTGTTCCCAACCTCTCAATTACACCAATAATCACTTAGTGTTTAGCTCTCAGAATTTTTCACGAAACAATCTAAGTCAATCTCGCAGGGAGATACACAAGAACCATACCAAAGACGACTTCATTGAATTTTGCGTTTGAAATAAGACGACTGTGGGCCGCCATGACTTAAACGAAGCATATGGCTAATGGGATGGAAAGTGAGCAAGAGAATGAACTATAAATTAAGCCAACGCAGAATATAGAGGCAATCCTAGTATGAACTTGGCATTTAAAAATGCCAAATGAAATGGGACTCAACTCTTCAAAAGGAGAAAAAGAACATAAAGACTATATCCATATCATCAGAATTTATCATAGAAAATATGGTTCTACTTGAACATATTTTTCAACTCATAAAAACTCCCAAAATGGTGCCATTATCCAATTTTACCCTCCTCTACAATTCCATCCAATTTCGCGGTTAAATGTCCTGCATGATAGCTGACGAGCATTTGAATCTCACACTTATGTGGCATTTGTTATTATTAAATATTTCTTTTAAAAATCAACAGATTCAAATCTAAAATGATGTTGGCAAAAAATTAAAAAGTAAACGTGGGTTTTAACAAATAAGAAAACTAACAAAGTGAAAATACAGAAATTAAAACAGACTGAGAAAGGAAATTATCAACCTGGGGTCATCGCCCCCATTCAAAAGACATCCATATGCCATGGCCATTGAAGAGACGTACGCGTGCGTCATCGTTTCTGTTGAAATAGTTTGTTATATATAAACAATTAAGAGAATAGATTAAATTGGACATGAAAAAGTGTGATTATCGGGTATGAAAAAAAGCGATTAATGACATGAAAAGAAGTAATGCTTGATAAAAAAAGGTTAATTATAGGGATACACCATAAAAATAAAAATAAAACATTTTCCTCTGTAGTTCCTACTCGTGACCTAAAGCCTTGGAGAACTGCGGATCACTATTGTGTGCAAAAGGTTAGATAGGCTCGAGTCTGCCAAACTTTAGAATCCCCTCTTTCTCAATGAGCCCAATCCATTGCCATTATTGTCGTGGTCAAGTCACAACCGCCCAACAATCCTTGCCCCCCAACCATGACACTCTTCTCTCCCGTCCTCCCTTGATCTTCGTACATCCCTATAGCCCACTCTTTATCTCTTTGTCCCTCTCTCTTTCCAGATAAATTGGGACCCTCGATGCCGGAGTTGGAAAATCCTTGTCGATGGAGGATCATCATTTTTTAATGGAGGCCCATGTAAAACTAAGGAAACCCGAATCCCACCCAACTTGCTTTCACAGTTGGGAAGTCAAAATTACGTGCTAGTAGACGATTTCTTTTTGGTGATTGGTAGACCGTCGAAAATCCTGCCCAATCACATGATGAGCCCAGCCAGGGGAAAGTAGACATCAGCCCTGGCTATGGGCAGCGACATGACTCGTATGTCTCTCTGCACAACCTCAGATGGAGAGGGATTGCACCACAACAAATGAGGTAAGAACTATACTGCACTACTTTTGACTCTCTTTTTATGGTACTTTTATGAGGAAAGTCAGTATCAATTGGTCGGTATCAAAAACCCGTTGAATCCGAATAAGAAGCGATTTGGGATGAATCGTCCCAATACAAGATTGTATACATTTGACGATATGGGGAATGGAACTCATGTTGCGCGTTCGATTCGTAAATATGTCTGTACGTTGATCTTTAGGTTAATTATCAACAAGAATTTATTGATTATGGAAAAATTTTGAAAGTTCACTTTTGCATTTGGTGATGTGTAAAGTTGTGATATCCAAACTGGCTATGGCCATCCGACCAACCAAAAAAAAACTGGCTATGGCCATGTTAGTATTAAATTTTGCGTTTGCTTTTTAAGTAGTCAATAACTTGGGGCCGCCAAGACTTAAACAAAGGGGGCCTAATGGGATGGAAAGTGAGAAAGAGAATGAACTTTAGCGTAAGCCAATGAAGAATATAAGGCAATCCTAGTGTGAACTTGACTTACCAATATTCCCAATGGAATGCTACTTGGCAAATGAAATGGGACTTAACTCTTCAAAAAGAGAAAAAGAAAAGAAAGAATATATGGATATTTTTCAGGTTAATATCACAAAAAAATCTTAAACCATTACTATTTGAACATATTTATCCCAAATTATTTTTCAGTCCATAAAAACTCCAAAGTCGTACCATTGTCCCATTTACACCCTCCATGACAATTCCGTCCAAATATGTTGTTAAATGTCCTATGTGACAACTGACGAGCCTGACAGTGTTTGCAAGGCACGTTTACATGACATTTTTTATGCATGATGACTATATTGCCATTTTCGATGGAGGCCCATGTAAAATTGGGGAGACGGGAATTTACCCAACTTGTTTCCACTGTTGTGACTCCAAAGTTACGATTTGTAAATTAGAACTTCATATGATTGGTACACTTATGAAAACTCGCTAGGCTCTAGAATATCTTGCCCTTCGGTGATTTCGCACACATTGCATAATCCAATCCACCCAAGTATGTAAATAATATTTTCTCATGTGGTTAAATCCTATCAATCTTCAACAACGCCAATTCCAATCACTATGAAGGAGCCCAGCCAGGGGACAATTGAAATCAACACTGAGAAAAGCATATTACCAAAAATGTGAAGAGACATTACTCATACGTCTCTCTCCACAGCCCCAAATTGAGTGCGCTTGCACTATATCGATCAGATAAGAACTACACTGCACAGCTTTTGACTCTCTTGGTACCGGCGATGATGAACTTACTTGAAAAGGCAATCACAGCGACACGAGAACCTCTCTTTTTTCTTACTTTTATGAGAGAAGTCTCCTTCAATTGATCAGTATCAATAATGGATCCGGATAAGACACGATTTGAAATGATTTCTCATAATACGAGATTATTTACATTTGATGATATGGGGAATCGAACTCGTGTTGCTCATCTAATTTATAAACATGTCTCTTCGTTTGATTAATAGGCTAATCGTCGATAAGAGTGTATCAATCACGGGAAAAAATTTGAGAGTACACTTCTGAATTCGGTAATATGCGAAGTGTGATATCCAAATGGGCCATGGCCGTATAACTCATCTTTTTACCTTCCTTTTTTTTTATTTGAGTGATTTATTATGAATAAATTCCAATTAAAAAGCATTTAGATAAAATCAAACATGAAACAGGTTTTTGATTATTTAATCTTATTTATCGTATTAACATATTAAACATGTAAATGTGGAATTTCTCATGATGGATTATGGATAATCTAGTCGAATCATCTCCCTCTGGGTTAAGTATGCCGTAGTTTGAGTTTGTTTTGCTTTAATGCAATCAAATTAAATGAGAATGAATTGATTTCTCAAATAAATTGCATATTGGGATGTTAAATACGAATCTCATAATGGAGAGGAAAACATTAACTATTCCTTTCTTGTGCTTATGCCTTCTGAAATAAAAGAATCCAAAATTACTGGAATATTATCAATGTGTAACCTACCACGAGATGTAATCAGAGAGAAAAGGCATCCAAAGGTTATGCATTAGCATTATTCCAATAGCAAAATAGTGCACACATTGATTTCTCAAAGTAGAATGTGCACAATTGAGTGCCTAAAGCTGAGAAAAATCGGATAGCCCCACAAATTAAATCGACTATTTTCGTGTTTGTAGCCAATAGTTTAATCATCATATGTTGCTTGTTTGTGATTTATATGCTAATCCAAGAGTATGCCTTTGCATAATTTGAGTTTATTTCTAATCGCAGGATTAGTTAAGTCAAAATTTCTACGGATAATTTCTTGAAGCTAAGTTCGTCTCCTAGCTGGAAAGTTGGGTCCACCACTGAAAGCACAAATACTACAATTTGAATTCACACCTTTAGCGAAGAAAATAATACCTATTGAGCAATCCTTCAGGTTATCCAACTTTGTCTGTCCTAAAGCATCTACTATCGCTGAATATATCAATTTTTTTTCT